CCTTCGGTAACGGCATAATCTATTTCTACCGTCCAATCTCGCCGCGGAATCTACAAACTTTTGCGTGTCGGATCGCATTCGTGGCGGCTGCTTTCAGTGCCTTTACAAGTGGCGTTTCAGAGAAGAAACATGCACTTTTAGTGAATCGTAACGGAATTTTAGTGGACCGTAAATCCCGCCGACATTCCTAATTATGTTGGTTTTCGCGCAGGATTTTCATACGACTACTAATCTATCTACCATATTTTGTTTTCACATATTGAGGAAGCTTTTATTAAGCTTCATCTAACAATTCGCGAAAACTTGATCGCGAAAAAAATCAAAATAAAGTTAAAATGATAAAGACGGTATATTAATTAACATTTTGTGTTAATTTTAACATTTTTGAATGTCTCAAAAAATCCACTATACATCTTTAAGTTAAAATTAATATTTTATTTTTAACAGTGTATAGTATATATTAAGACATAAAATTTATTCTCAAGTCGTTAGACAGAAATTTGTATTAGCTTTTAAACAAATTTGTTCTTATATCTGCATTGTTTTGATATCGATTTCGCGCCACCCATACTTATATTTATGTTCAAATGCAAGTGAGAAAAACGAAGAAAATGAAAAGACCAGTCAGAAAGCTAGGCGGGCAATATCCGCCTTCTCAAACCCTTTCGTACCATTGGCCATGACCATGCAATAAATCGAGCCATTCAGCTTAATGATTAATTAAATATAATGACTGCACCCCTCATCTCCTCCCGTCTCCGCCCCCGGTCATGACTGATGAACTGGCTAAGACAATATCTGTCTTGTGAGCCTTAAACCGAATGCAGACATAGATACATGACCACGCTCGGAACATTGTGATCACACGAGAAACCCTACGTATATGTATATGTCACACTGGATTATTCGTCGTTAATTTTTTTTAGAATGTAATGAAGCAATCAGTTTATGCAAACTGAAAATCGAAAGAAATTATGAAGCTCAGTAATGCATATGCTGTAAAATTTACAGCATATGTATTTACTGTGTAAATAATATGTCATGCTACACATAATGTTATTATATTTTTAATAAAGTTCTTTTAATAATTCTTCTTTAAAATAAAATATTTTTATTTTTATTTAATGAAATATGTATGAATAATGCAAATTAATATTTTTACATACGGGATACAAATATACATACAATGTACAAGTGTATACAAATTTAATTGTGCGTAAAAAATTCTTGTTGCATCAATTAATACATATATAAGTAGCAAGACAATGGACCGCTGTAGGTGTTTTTAAAATTTCTGTAAGATCGTATATGTATTGCACGAGAAAAGAAGACCTTCGGAGCACCTGGTGAGTTTATAAACTCGCTCACGCGTTATATACGCATAGATTTGTCTTCGCTCGATGTCTCGCGCTGTTAGTAAGCAACAGAAGGTGGATGGAAAGCATCATTCAGTCCGTGCCTCCTAAGTACACGAAAGAGCTGCGAGTCCACCTTTATGGTAGTTATTAATATCAAATAGTCAGCCACCGTGCCCATTACGGGCATAATGGGACACCATTTTTTGCCGCGACAATGAGGCACCCCGTTAAAATGCTCGATGTATTTGCATTATTTATGCGGATGATTAAGCTGCGTTAATATATTCAACGGCACGGCGTAGAACAGAATGATGTTAGACAAAGATCACGTATAAATAGCATATATATATATATATATATATATATATATATATATATATATATATATATATATATATATATATATATATATACCGAAATGTAAAGGCTCGTGGAAGATTAGATCCGCATAAGTATATACGCTAATATAAAGCAAAATTGAACCCTGATCTGAAGTTGGAACTGTTGATCATTTTTCCTTTTCTGTGAGAGAGCATAAATCATCTCAGTTGCATATATCGAAGTTGCCATAGTGCTTTGAAGGATATGCATATGTTCTACTTCCTTATTTGATTAATTACTATTCCATGTGATGTAAAATATCATTAATCATTCGTTCGACACGATTCTTATTTACTAAAATGCAAAGGAGGTATTTGAATAAAAATGAAAACTATGCTTTTACTTCGTCTTCTTGGGTATTGATTTCCATATTGTTAAATATGTTTCGTAAATTTTACACAAATATAAGTGTAATGTTACGAAGAGATTAGAGAGCGTAAATATTTTAATAAAAGTAATGTGTTTAATTAGATGTGAGTGAATAGTGAGGGAATATTATCTCTTTTTATATATGCTATCTCAATCTCTGACTCATACTATCTTTTTCATTCTAAGATATTTTCATTCTAAGAGGTTGGTAAAAACGAATCAACCAAAAGTTTGACTGGACTTTTGTTATAATTTCTATAGTTATGATACGTGACTGACATGACTTTCTTTGTCATAGTTTTGTACCTGAATTTTTCCAATAGAATTTTTGTATTAAGTTGATAAATGCGATTTCAAAAGTATAAATATTCATGTTTTGAAACTATTTTCCTCCAGAAAAATTCTACAACATGTTCTACAATAAAGTTTACCTGCGATACATAAGAAAGAATTAAAAATAAAACAGTTTCCTACGGAATAAATCCTGAACAGATTTGCCTAACAAAATGAAAACTTACAAAAGAAATAATTTACGAAACCGCATTTATTTTTTAGACATTCAGTATACATAAAAAGATGTTAAAAAAGTCAATCTTTATTATGTTTATTATTTGTTTAAAATTATTATTTAAAATTATTATATCAGTTTCTTCTTCATATTTTTTTTATTTATAGACGAAGAGAGACTCTACTTATAGACTGAACATTTTTGTATTTATCATGTTGAACATGTGCAATATTGTAAAATTTTTTGTTAGTATAGAATTAATAATACTTAAAATGGGACAAGTTAAAAAAAATCTTATTTGAAATTATGTGTGATTCTGTTTTATGCAATCATCTAAAATAAAAGAATTACGCTTTTCATCCTGTATGAATGATTAATGTTCATATTGAAATGGCTATTAAAACAACTTAAATTATAATAACTTAATTAAAATAAAATAATATAAAACAAAAGTAGTAGTATTTTAAGAAAAATATAAATATTTCTATTTTCTTTTTCTGCAAGAAAAACAAGTTTTAAAAAAACTTTTAAATTAAATATATTGTAAAAAGAAATATCAATATAAAATTATCTATTTTATATTTTTTTTACAATATGTGAAATTAATCAAACAATCTGATTTTAGATGTCATGAACATCAGTTTAGAAAATAGTAAGAAAATTCTAAGAAAAATGCAATAATCTGGTTTCCACTGAATAACTTTATTTTTTATTCATTAATCATCTTAAAAATATTCGTAGCAAAACAGCTAAATTTTCAAAATAATACAGCGCCATATTTATTACCGACTGCGATAACTAACAATTTGCTAATTCATAAAACTGTTATAAATTTTGTCTAGAAATAAGTTATAATTAGCTTTATTTCTAATTAAAAAATTTTATTTAATTTTAGCAAATGAAATATCTTTATATCAGTCTAGCATAATTAGTATAAATTAACGATGGCGGTTTTTAAATTTCATTTTGTATTCAACTAATTGCATTTCACTATTAGTTTAAAAAAAAAAAGAATTAAACGAGTTAAAAACATTTATTTTGTTCTTATTTAACATTGCTGGCTAAATTATCAGCAAAAAGGGCTAAATAGTAGCAATCTACTACATAATCTTCGCATGATTAAATGTAAATTAGATTCAATTTCTGTCGAGATTTTTTTTCTTGCTCAATTCCTTTTGCGTTCGCATGGAACATTTATATTTGATTAGATTCGATAGCCGCTTTATACGAAAAACATATTCAAATATAAAAATATTCAACGATATTTAATGATACAATAATTATTAGAGTAAGAGTGAATTTCAGTGTAATAATTGTCAGTTTGACGAAAATGAAAAAAAAATGTGATGGATGATATCACTGAAAACGCGATGATTAAATTACATGTGCTCACGTGAAAATAAAATACAATACATACGTATTTAAAGTGAACAATAATATAATGACTAGAGAGAGAACAAATATATGTTGTTTCTGTCTACGTCTTGTGTGAACTTTCTTTGATAAATAAAAAAAATGGCGAATAGATCCATCCAGAACTACAGCTTTATGAATTTTAGCAGGTTCATGTATATAATTCTAATATTTAAAAGTTTAAAGAATATTTTTAAACTCTCTCAATATCATTATAAAATTTTTATACAATATTATTTTTTACAACAATGATAAACCATTATTATTGCAAATATAATTGTCGTCTTATCTTAATCAGATTTCATTCGTTCGTATATGTGGCATTTATTCTGAAGCCTCGATTGCGTCGTGAATTATTACGTATCTATCATCGACTATTGCACGATAATCTAACGTTTTAACAGATAAAAAAAAAAAAAAAATCTCGGAAATTGATGCATAAAGTCTCTATATAGTTAAATATTTCACATGATATTTATATATCAAAAGACAAGAGAGTAGTTCTTCGTACAACGTGCATAAAATCGCAGAATGTCACTGCGCGACGTTTTCAAACTACAGGGCGTGAACCGCGTGCAGAATCTCGACATGCGCCTTGGTAGGCGCAACGCCTATCCGCCCGTGGTAAATTAATGGGCTCCTCCTTATTCGGTGGCCTCCAATGAGTAGCGATGCCCTCAGCGCCAATGGTACGCTGGTACCGCCAGGATAAGTTCACCAGTAGTAGGGACCATGGTTTATACTCGCGCTGTCAAAACGGTTCAGTAGGGGTAGAAGGCGGTCTTAACCACGGTGGGGCGGCGAAACACCAGGTTGGACAATGCACGGTGGTTAGGCTACGGTAGGACGAGGAGGGAACGAGAAACGCGCGCGGCTCTCAGAGAAAGAAGGGGAATCTACCGGACTCCGAAATCAGACGCGCGTTGCCTCGGTGGGAGTCCTTTACTTTCAGTCCCGCTGTGAACGCAGCAAGGAGCACTACGTGTGTTTCACCCTCACCGCACCCGGGACGCCGTCGATTGTCATCGCGTTGTTGTTATCGCCACGTTGTCACTGGAAGATATTGTGTTTATTTCCCAAAAACGCGTAACACAGTTGCGCGCAAGTGACGGAAAATAGATGATTGATCGTTGACAATCGTCGCGTGTATTCCGCGAGTCATCTAAAAGTGTTGTAATTCACACGTGACAAATGTATCTTTACGCGGGTTCGTGATGTTATACGTGAAACGTGAGATCGCTCGTTAATCGGAACAGAATGGGTTTGACATGGAAATATGAATATGACGAGATATGGATTTTACGAAAGTTTAGAATAGGCAGCTTGGTAACACAAGTGATTCTAGAATGAAGTATACTACTGTGGCCTATATACTTTCTATGTCAAATACACGTTTTTGCACTCAATTATAGTTCAAAAATATCCTGGTCCATAGTTCTTAAAATAGGGATTCAAATCCAACGACGTCGAAGATGTATCATACATCTCCCTTGCCTGACGACACGACCTGGGTCATATCGTCGTAAACAAAGTTCTTGGTGCTATTTTTAAAGTCAACGCCAGTCACGATAATGAGTTTCCTGGAGGGTATGCCATCTCACCCGCATCATATCGTCAATCTGGGCATCAAGCTATCACCCGGAGGTGGCGGAACAACCGGTGGATTAACAGATCCCGGTGCGAACGTTCAGCCACCTCCGGGGGTCGAAGCACCGTCCCAGCAACATCATCACTTTCATCCTCAAAGTTACCCGCCGCATCATCCTCATACGGCTCCTCATATGGCTCCTCATATGGGCCATCATATGGGTCATCATCCTAGTTACGCGCGCGAGTTTATCCTTCGACGAGAACATGAAATAGCAACGGCGAGTCCTACCACTCCCGAAAGCGGTGGACTAGGCCTCTTTACGCCGCTGCATCATGATGGTACAGCTGCGACGATGCAGCAATTTCCTCATCATCCCAGTCAACATCCACTAGCCGCTACTCACTATCCTGGGCATTATCCTCAGGATACCAGACCGCTACCTTCTCATCATCAGTTTATCGGCTCGCCGCACATGACGCCGACCGCTATCCACCACCAGCAACATCCGGCTATGAACCATCCAAGTCATCACAGCGCCTTCTACAAATTTATTCCGAGGCCTAACGGCGCCGGCGGCGTCGGCGGCAGCCACGCGGGTACCATCGGCAGCGGCGGCCAACTCCGCGAAACTACTTGTATGTGGATAGACCAAGACCCAGCGTTACCAGAAAACGGAAGAAAATTCTGTGGCAAAATCTTTAATAACCTTACCGACATTGTGTCACATCTGACAGTGGACCACGTGGGCGGACCAGAGTGCACAACGCACGCGTGTTTCTGGCAGGGTTGCGCGCGTAACGGTAAGGCCTTCAAGGCCAAGTACAAACTCGTGAATCATATACGAGTGCATACCGGGGAAAAACCGTTCTCGTGTCCGTTTCAAAACTGCGGCAAAGTCTTCGCCAGGTCAGAGAATCTCAAGATACACAAGAGAACACACACTGGTAGGTACTGTTATTATCCTTTACTACTTTTTTCGCCTCTCGCATAAACTACAGTCCCTTTTTTCCTCAGCAGATTTTATTGACCTCGTTAACTCAGTTTTATTATCATATAGCTTTATGGCGCATACGACTTTTGTACAGTAGAAACTGACTGACGTCCGCAATGTTGATGTCGAATGTTGAGATATAATTAGTTTTACAGATTTTATCTGCACGAGACATAAAAAAAAACGCAGCATAAAACAGTTTTCGTTTTCGTTCTCTCGGATTCCGACCTCAAGAATTTTTCGGATCCCATCAGCGTGACGCGTTCACGATCTAGATGCGTAGGTTACTCTCACAGATTTGAATCGGAATCTCGGATGACCTTTCCACGAACCGATTCTTCTTGCCGTCTAGAGAGCTCCGTATTAGCTCCGTTTTCGAGATCTGCCACAAACCGCCAAATCGCATAAATTATATCCATGTAAGCTAGCTTCTTCTTCGTGGCATGAGTCACTTTCAAATCTCGCCAGAACTCGGCCGAGCGTGAGAATGATTAATACGGGAACCGACCGTTTATTACGTCGAAGAAGACTACACAGACAAAGAAGGGAGATTTTCTATGTCATTAGCTTAGTTTCGATTTCCGTCAAGCGAGATTGTGCGCGGAGCTTACTGTTAGAGTCGCATAAATAATCGTGTGAGGAAAATTAGTATCGCCATGTTTTCTACTCTTTATCCTGTGATCTTTTTATTCTTTTTTTCCGTTCGCTTGTCTCATCCACGAGATGCCCTCGGCGCCTTGAGTCGTTTCAATATAATCAACCGGCTGTTTATGATGACAAGAATTTTTCGGAGTGCAATTAAGAAATTACCAGGCCATATATCGTGTCGTTTTATGCCTACGGCGCGGTGGACATTGTATTTACATATTTATTCATCAGACGAGCGTCCCATTGGCCGATGCGACGGCTAAACGCTAGGCGTTAGCCGTGTTGTTGGACCTGCTGCTGTTAACGAATTCCTTTCTAAAGTTATTAATTCCGTTGTGTAGTTTATTTTCCAGTTTGTCTTTCTTTTATTATAATTATTTTACAGTGATTTAAGTAGGAAATAGACAAGAAATATCCAGTTGCTAATATCCATTTCAAGTTATATTCTTATTTTTTTTTATTCAAAAGATTGTAATACCGTCATAGAGAATATTTAAATTATTAAAATGCATAAATAAATCACAGAGGTTTATACTATTATTACTCATTTTTGTAGGATAAATGAGGAAAAAATTACATTGTCTTTGTTAATAGCCAATATATATAAAACATTTCATTATAATTACTAATTCTATATATGATAGTAATCTTATCTAAGATAACCTATTAAAAAATAAGAAATTATATATATCTATATGTTTTTTAATTGGTGTAAACAATTTTAATAATTACAGGCTGTAAACCGAAATAATATAATCTTTAAACGTGAATTTGTGTATTATTACTAAAAAATAGTGAATATTCGCTGATGATTACATCAGTTATAAGTGTAACACTGAAGTTACTGATTAAGAGTAACTACAGATATTATTCTGTTTTATATTCTAACCACTTTTTATCTATTTTTTGTGTATATATTAAATAAGACATAAATTCACAAATTAAACACAGGTATCTGTACAAATATCATAATATACAATAAAAAAATATATTTTAATAATATAATATAATAATAATTCAATAGTATTTTTTTTGTTGGTTACTTCTTTGATGTTTATTTAGATATAATTTATATATAAAACTTTAATTCAATCTATCTAACTTAATTTGTGCTCTTAATTAAAATTTAAAAAAATTATAAATAAAATAAATAAAATGTAATCATAAAATATCAGATACTGTCAGTCATAACTCTTGGCTAACTCAGAGAAATCTATCAACCCCTTCGCGTAATTTAGAAACACGTGCGGTAATATGTCGGATATGTATATTATTTTGCGCGCACCCACCCGCTCTTAATGACTTTTAATAATGAAATCGCACAGGGGGTATACGCATCCGGGATCCCACTAACAGTCGCAGGTGCCCGTATTTTCGTTCACACGATGCGAATTCATGCGCTCATCGTCATACCTACCCCGTATACTGGGAGCAGTATATCACGTGTGATTAAATTTCGTTTTCATTTATAACAAACGCCACCCTTCCGACGCCATTGTAGAATGTGAACTCTCTCTCCCGTGGCCCCTTCTCTCAACGGTACAGTTGACACTTTGGGACGCCCAGATCGACATTGTGCCACCCTCTGTCGCAGATTGGGATATATATATATATATATTGTTATAACAACTATTGTACTCTACTTGAAAGCTTAGGAGTTTATGCCAGAGTAAACATTCGATAAAATCAAGTTTTATTTGTATTTTTCTAAAGATTTATGTCTTGAAATAGTATCTTAAAATTTTAGATCTATATCTGTGAAATATTTCCGGAGCAGGAAGAAAACAATACTAAATGCCGAAAATTTTATACATGTATATACGTTTCATTTATTTTATATATTTTTTATTATATTTAAAAAATTATAAGTCAACGATTTCCATTTTTCATAAAGGTCTACTAAGAACTCTACGCCATATTTTTAATCTGATTGATTTCTAATTGTACTTTCTAGTGTAATAATAAAAAGAAATAAAAAATAAAATCACTAAAATAAAATAATCTCTAGAAATGACCATTGACAAATCAGCAAATTAATAAAAAAGATCTTATGAATAAAAAGAGATGCATAAGGATCTCTTATGATTGAATTAATAAAGTGTATTAATTCAAAAAAAATCGATTACGTATGCAATCCGTCATATATACAAAGTTTTTTTCTTAAAATAATAATAAAATAAATTCAAAACGAAATGCATTTATTTTGAAATTGTTTTGGAAATAACATCAAATAAATTATATTGCTGCAAAATGCAATATGTTTTATTGTGTATTTTTATAGACAGTAATAATATTTTTTTTTTTAATACAAATCAAACACAAAACTAACATCAATAACAAAAAATTATAAAATTTTACATATATGATTTTCAATGCAAACTATATAATCAAGTTTTTCTCGAAACTATACTTTTCAGAAACAATGACTGATAAATAAGATACATTTTACAATCAAATTATTACGAATTTAATTGCATATTCTTAAATACTCTGTCTATTTAATTATACAAAAGTTTTTTTGCATAAAATATTTAGTTTTATCTTATCGATGAAATAATAGCTTGCATCCATTTCGTAAAATTTTAATTCTTTAATTTTCAAAAACATGCCATGCTTGTTATTTCAATAAATTACATATTTTCTCTATGTAAAGATTTAATTATAAATGTAAACTAAAAAGAGTATTCGTGTTTTAGTAAAATACGAATACGAGATATTTGTTCAAACGTGATGGCACCAAGACATAAACGTGTATAAATCTTTATTCGAAACGATTAAAAACGTGAGAATGAATTCATTTCTATGTGCGTACACGACAACGACAACCCTCATGCGACTCCCTCGTCGAGATAAATTAGCTTTTTCAAGAAATGATCCTCGATCCATGCACGGCTTCACGCATTGTTTTCGCACATTGCTTGTGAATGCGCGTGTATACACGCATCACGCCTCTTTATTACGCCTCCTTTTTTCCCTGCTCTTCTCGCTTTTTCTATTTGAAATACATAAATGCGATTTGGCAGCACCATTCTGTCATTCTCATAAACGGTACCGTAAATATTTTTCTCTTGTGTATATTCCACACATATTCCTCTATTGTTTTGTTCGAACAAAGTGAAACGAATTTAAATGCACATAATTCGGAATTATCTGGAAAATTATTGACATTATGAAAAATAAAATGTAAATTGCATCCATGCATAAACAGCATATGACATATGTATTATGTAACAATAAATGTATGTAAACAACATATAAACAAAATTTTTTTTAAAAAGCTAAGATTTTTCTATTTCTTTTTTTTTCATTTACTTAATATAAATAGCTAACAAATAATTATATATTAATTATTGTTCGAATTGAGCGGAAATATGCATACGTGTCTTCTTCTTATAATAAAAAATAAATATTAATTGTCACGATTCAGTATTACAGAGGAATATACAATAGAGAAAAATAATTCAACATAACTTGAAACGAAAAGATGGATTCAATGCAGTACTAAAAATAATAAGAAAAGAGAAGCGTTTATTATAGATAAATAAATGAAAAAGCTGTATTCATACGAGAAAGACGCGAACGATTCAAAATAAGTAATGGTACATCACATACAATAAAATAATTAAATAAGTAATATAAGTTGCGAAAGTTTAGTATTCAATTGTTATCAATAACTAATATTTATTACATATATACTTGCAAAAAGGATATTAGGTACAAATAATTATATTTTTTCATTTATATCTGTTTCAATTATTATATTAATGGAGCATTAATTCGTAATTCATAATATTCTTCTTATAATTTCCCTTTCAATATTAATAATTATCAATTTTTGCTCCAAAAGAGAAAATATTTTAAACTATCTCATAATCAGCTTCAATTTATTCTCTACATATACATAAATATATTACTCTTGTATAACATTCAAAAATAATCATTTTAGCATATATAGAGAGCATTATATTATAATTATATTATCATAATGTGTCAATATCGTGTTTTAGCATCATAAAGATCCCAAGCGCAAATAGCTTACAAGTACAGGACTTGGTGACGTTGCATTTAACAATGATCGATGGAACGCAGCATCCATTAGCATAGAAATGATTTCGAGTCGCGGCATCAGAACGTCAATCTATCGTAACTGTACGACAATACGGCGAATTGAGGAAGACTGAAATATTGCCGTTTATTGTGGACACACATGAACGTGAAGAACGAATATAGAAAAAGTAAGCAACTGCAGTAACCGGTCACAATCTGTTCGCCGCGCGATTGGAAAATAAAGCGTGCGCTGTCAAA